CTCTTTAACATAGTTGACCTAATCACCTAATATGTTGGGGTAGTTTACGTAATCAACCCCCTCAAATAGTCAAATCCGCAATGCAGACCTGTTAATATCTTGCCAGTCGTATAGCTTCAGATCTTTCGAGAAAATAATTATTTCCGATTTATGAAATAAGGGACAAGCTGCTTACAGATTTTGACCCAAGGAAAGCACTCCAGGTTGTCTGATCATCCCTCCATCTAAAGAGATTGCTCCATTTCCCACATAATCAAGAGCCTCGAGCATCTCCTCCCTTGATCTGTACACTTGCAGATTTGAAAAGAGATTATAGAACAATGATTCTCTTAGGCCATGCCCATTGTTCAAAACATGGTACAAGCTGGTGTTATCGATGGTGATCATATTCACAGCAAAGCCTAGAAATCCAGGAGGAGTTTCGCCATTCGGTAATTTTGGCTCTTGAAGGGCAAGTCTCCTTTGAGGATCATTGGCTACAAACTCGCCAGTGTATGGTCTAGACATACATACATGAACAAAAAAAACATTGCAAAAATAAGTCGTTGAGGGAGAGAAGATAAAAAAAAAATAAAAATAATAAATGAATAATTGAAAAAGGAAACAACAAATGCCGATAACGATGATGTCAAGCTCATAAACCTTATATCTTCAAGACAGATAACGAGAAACCGGCCAGACAAGGGCCTCCCAATGTTAGCTGCAAATCCATGAAGGCCGAGACTTTTATCTACTAAACCGTCTTCGGTGTATGCTTCAAGGGCATTGACACCTTCATGCGTCTTGCAAACTACTGCTAGCATTTTCTCCAGACCCAACCACTCGGCAAGAAGTCTACCACAAATTATACAAGAAAATGGGCCAACCATGAAATTCAAAGATAATAGTGCTTTTCACTCATTTGTTCATGCAGACGTAAAAGAATCAATTATGAATTTTATAAATTACGATAAACCAGATGAGCTGTAACTAGTGAATAAGTATCCCATTCCAAGGTAGAAAAAGGAGCCCAAACACGCACGCACACACACACACACACGGAAAAGAAAATCAAAAACACTAAAATATGTGAGATTTTTTATTATTGCAAAAGCTGCCCTTGAGATTTATAAGAATTGACCAATTTCTAGCCAGGAGAAATTAAGAGAAGGGTAAAAAAAAGGAGGACCAGCCTGCTAAGGTTATCATCGTCAACTTTTCCAAGTGTAGCTACAATGCCCAGGACATCCTTTGTAAGTGAATGCTCGAATGATAGGGCTTTTGCTTGATTTTTCATCAAACACAAAAGAGCTGCCGCAGATTTGTCATTCTTAAGAATTTCTCCTATTGTTCCTTGTTCTCTCATAACATCCACATTGGTTGTTGCTGACATACTTGCTTTATCATTCTCCTCAAGAGCAGCTATAAGAAAAAATATAATAAAACCAATATACATTAAGGCCAGGTATTTAAAAAAAGGATATTGGCCAGTTGGATAAACACAAAAAGGAACGAAGGATCAAATGATCACATATAACAGCAAGCATGAAAGGGATCACTACAAAATTAACCCCAAGTATCAGAAAACATGACTTGGTTCTTCTTTAATCAGGGAAAACCTCAGATGTGGTTTTTGTAATTAACCAACTACGAGATGAAAAATTCCATATATATACATAGATTTCTCCAAATGCAAACATCGGATATTCAGTAATGCAGAATACCTTTCATACTGACGATGGATTCCTCCAATTTGTTTTCCAAGCCCTTAAAGTATTTAATGTTGTCCTCATAGTGATTAATTCTTTGACCAATTTCACGTAGATCATCTTGAAGTTCCTGAAAAAACATGTTTCAAAAGGCGAGCAGTACCGGATAATTTCCACCTACAGTTGTAAGCAATTTGTAATCAACCAAGTAGATCAAAAAGCATGTTTCTAAATTTGCCTCCAAGTTGCAAATACTAAACATGAGGTTTGTTCTTTTACTAAAGAATTTGGTTACCATTTGATATTCGAAATAGCCTTTGACATATGTTTGTATTTTACACGTTGAACATTGTTGAGGTGTAATTTCAAAAGATAATCCGAACTTTTCCTTTTTGGTAACTAAGCCAAATCGCGTATGTAGTTTTTGTATTTATCCCTAATACGAACATCACCATGCCACACATCGGAATTGCTAGCTTGGGAAGGTGTTAATTTTTCCATTTGCAAAAATAAACAGGAAATAGAAATCTAGAATTTCCAAATGCTATTGCCTAAAAAATTAAACATGCAAAAGAATCTCACCACCAGTAAACATAATGAATACACAAAAACGAAGGAAAAGAACAAATAATAAAAAAAGAACACAGCAAAACGTCATTTGGGTTGATTCTTAAATTCCATTCGCCAAGCACTAAAATCACTGTTTTGGCCGTAATCTTTCCACTCTACGCATAAGACAAGAAATCATTCAGCATATTAAAGAAAAAATCTTTCGCCACCAACCCATGAGTTTACATTCACAAATCGGCAATTAATTCTATATACAAAAAACAAATGCACGTTCAGTTCTCGAAACTCTTATCAACTTCCATAAACAACAGAAACCACTTAGATTACTATCCTTCCTCCCCAGAAAAATCAAAATAAAAAAAAATTACCTTCAATTACAGGAAAAATAACGGAAAATAATGCCAAATTGAACAGAGATCAAATAAAACCTGCGCCGCCGGGTTAATGTCAGCGGACATTTTCTGTAAGGAGACGCCACCGGCCGTCATTAGAGAGAGAGAGAGAGACGAAACGGCACCTGCGAGTGAGAAAATATCTGTCTGGGTAGTGAAGAGGTTGAAGAACACTTCATTCATAAACTCAACTACTAAGTGGTGATTGTTTATGAATTTAACTAGTTTTTATTTAGTTTGTTTTTAATTATAGTTACTTTTGAAAAAAGGTGGTATGGTTAGTTGTTAGTAAATATATTAAAATAATATTTAAATAAAATAATTAAAGTTGATTTGATGTAAAGTAGGAGAAAAATGATTGGAAGGGATAGTTAGTTAAAATTATGTGAGGGGATGAATAGTGAATTAAAGTTGATGTGATGTGTAAGAATGATTGGTTGATATTATTTAATTTTATTGATAATATGAGAGATAGTGAGGTTGAGTTAAAGTTGAGTTAAATTTGAGTTTTGATTGGTTTTTTTACTGTAGAAAGTGTAAACAATCGCCACTTAAATACCGCACCCAAAAATTAGATACCGCATCCAAAAAATACCAAAATACCCTTACTAATATAAAAAAAAATCGAAAAAAATGGAAAAACAAACGCACGCACGCACCCCCCTCCTTTCCCTCACTCTCTCTCCCATCTCTCAATTCACATAAGCTAAAAAAAAATTGAAGAAATTTCGTTTTTTGCATTTGAACGCGAAAAAAAATGGCCGAACGCAAAAAAATCATAAAGAACAACCAAGTATTTTTTTTTTAATTTTAGACGAAAATTATTTTTTCGAACTTTTTTTTTTAACGGGCCGGAACTCGCGGAGCCACGCCACAATTGCGGCCCTTTCATATTATGCCGTCGAGCGCGGCCGTCTACGCGGCTCGAAGCCGCGTTTCGGCCGCCGCCCGCGGTCATGAAATTTTTTTTTAATTTAAAAATCAAAATAAATGTTAATATATATACATTAAATATTTATAAAATAAAAAAAATAAATATATTAATATTTATTTTCTATAAATTTTGAATATAAATAATAAAAAAATTATATTAATTTAAATAAAAAAATAATATTAATATATATTTAATTTTTTGTTTTTTTTAAATTTATTTTGTTTTTTTTTTTGGTTTTTAAAATATATATAGATATATATTTAATATATAATATATAAATTTAATATATATATTTTTCGGTTTTTAAATTTATTTCATTTTTTTCAGTTTTTAAAATATATATAGATATATATTTATTAAATATATATATATATATATTTAATATACAATATATATATTTAATATATATTTAATTCAGTTTTTAAAATATATATAGATATATATTTATATATATGTTTAATATATATTTATTTAATATATAGTTTATTTTCGTTTTTTTAGTTTTTTTAATGTTAAAAAACTGAATTAAAAAATGAATTTTTTAATATTTTTTTTAGCAAGGGCAAAAGAGGAATTTTTGGGTGCGGTGAATAGTAAAAGTGGGTGCGGTAAATAGCAACACTCATTCATAAATTAATTTAGTTCAGTAATATTTAGCCAATCTTCTAACATGATTTTTCAATATATTTATGTAATTTTATGATGAAATATTATATATTGAAAAATAATGTAGACAACATTATAGTTTTGTGAAGCGCTTCATTTTTATTAAAACGTTATATTAACTAAACGAATAAATTGTCGAACACTAGTTTTTTATAATTCTAATATCTTTGTTACTAATTTTCTTGGCTCAAATCCCAATTCTAATTTGTTTAATAATTTGTTTCAAAGAAAATTAATGCCTATGTTTGTTGTTTAGTTATTTTATTCATCCATAATTTATGATTTGGAATATTTTAAAATATTTATGTAGGTTAAAACTTTTAAATAAAAAATTAATATAATATATTGTAATGAGAGTACGTACTTCTTAAAAAATGTCAAGAAATGTTAATAGTGTAAATGGTAATAAATTTTATTGTTAGACAATTTGATATTTAGGTGATCAACTAATTATATTTTTTGAATAATAATCATATTTGTATTGTGAAATATTATATTTTCAATTTATATTTAAAGTAATATCTTTAAACATAAAAAAACTATTTGTAAAAGGGGGGATTGCTAATAATGCAGACCTTCTAGTGAGTGAGGATATTTTTTAAGGATTTGCTTTTATGGAAGAAGCAAATTGCTCTGTGTTGGTCAGTTATGACATATCAAGAATATAAGCATCACACTCAAATAATAGTAATCCGTGACTAGCCAAAATAAATAAATAAAAGAAATTTAAACAAAAATCAGATTTGCAAGAAAAAGTGAAGTGCAATTGCTGACATTACATGAGATTAACCTCAATTTGAAGCAAATCCATCACAAAAATCAGATTGTTTGAACATCAAATAGAACATTCACGTTCTACCACAGATAAAAAGAAAATCAAATACATTGAGGCATGCACATCTTGACCAAAAAGTGAGGCACTGCTTTGAAATTTTTTTTTTTTAATTAAACGAAATCATTATATTTCTATAGCCAAAATAGAATCATGGTGAAATTTAAACAAAATCGTAACCAAATTTAATAAAAGGACTGAAGAAAATTCTTTTTTCCTGTTCTTAAAAATTAAGCAGCCAAAAGATCAAAATCTTCCTTCACATACCCATATAATTTTAATTCATTACAGTCTACATTCCTCCATTCTAATAGGATAATTTTTTATTGGAAAAATATTAAATTGCAATTTTTAATATTTAAGAGAACTAAATAGCTACAATAAAATGAAAAATATACCTATAATAGATTTCATTTGATTCCTTCAATAAGTATCATTAGTATGATTGAATTGTGTCATTTTTCATTTGGTTCCTTTAATAAATTTCTTATTCTTAGTATAATGCCCGTGTACTACACGGTGTTTGATAAAATAGTTAAATGTACAACAAAAAATAAAATTAAAAAAAAAAAAATTATATTTTGTTGAAGTTGGAAAAAATAAATAAGAAACTATATATAACAAATTATAATAAAGAACAAATTGAATTAACAATA